AAGGCGCTGAAGCCGCTGCCCGAGCCGGAGGAGGACTTGGTCGAGCTGTTGGAAGTCTTGCTGTTGTAGCCCGAGGTGGCCTGAGAGGCACGCTGAGCAGTACCGCTCCCGCTTCCATCAATGCTATCCGACTTGGTGGCGCTGATGCAGTTGGGAAACTTGATTGAGTTTCCCGTTCCATGGTGGCGACTATTCAGCTTCGTGGACGAGGAGGTTGCTCCCGGCACCGACGCTCCTGCAGTCGAGGACATTGAGGCCGGGGTTGCCGCTTCCGTATCGCAGTCGTCGGGGGAGGATTGCGAGGACATCGTGCAGTTGGCGGTGGAGAACTTGCTGGAGCTGCTATTGCTGTGCTCGCCGGCACCGTTCCCTCCTCCACCTCCGGTGACTCCACCTGCCGTTTCTCTTATGGGACTACAGCTGCCCGAATCCCCTTGCTGGTTACTTGGTTGACCAATGGCAACTGGTCGGATTACTTTGACGCCGTCCGCGTCTGCTTCCGCTTCTCCATCGAGGCCGCCACCGCCGTTTAGATAGCCTCGATCGCTACTCACGTGCTGCCTCAGCGCCAGCGGATGACGCAGCACGTCCTCAGTGATGTCCCACAAGCAGATCTGCGTGTCCTGGCTGACGGATCCAAGTCTATAGCTGATTGCCAGCTTATCCGCCGACGAGGCATCCGATCGAAAGGAGGCTGAGTGGGGTCGATTCCGAGCAGCATGCACGGGCGTCGAGTTCCGGTCGAAGCCGTCGAAGCCACCGTTGGCCGTTGAGTCACCGGAGAAGCGAGCCTCCCGGGAGTTGGAATACTCGTTCATCTGATTCTCATCGTCACTGAAGTCGCCGCCATCCCAATTTGTGTAGGAGGTGGTATATGGGTCAAAGGCCACCACCGAGATCCAAGAGCGGTGGCCCTGTCCGCGGGCAACAACACGTCGATCCTGCAGCGACCACACGGTGACCAGGTCATCCTCGCCGCCCACTACAATGTACTTGCCATCGGGCGACCAACAGACACACAGGAAGCCGCCGAAGTAGGACCGCGCAATGCCGAGCAGTTCCATAGTGTCGTAGTGAAAGACGCGTAGGAATCCGTCCTGGGAGACCACGGCCAGGTGGGAGCCGCAGGGTGAGAAGCAGAACTCGTTTACGCAACAGTTGTCGGTGCTAAAGACCCACTTGTAGAGCGGGTTCCTCGTGGACTTGGCCTTGCAGGTGAGTATCGTGTAGCCGTCGCCCAGCTTGAAGGGCTGGTAGCTGGGCGCCGTGGCCGCGCAGGGCAGCTCCTCGTTGTACAGGTACAGGTGACCTGAGGCGTGGGCGGCGAGGAACAGGTGTGGCGAGTTGGGCAGCCACTTAAGGCAGGTCACTTTGGTCTTGTCGATCAGGCGCTACCGAAAAATCCATGTTATTCTGCGCCAATTAATGACTTTCAATTACTCACCTCCTCGTTGAAGAGCTTCCTGACCTCCCGGGGTCCGACCTGCGGGGAGACCAACTGGATCTGCCCCGTGGTGAAGCCCACCAGAAGGGGCGCGCCCGTGGGCGTGGCTGCGCTCGCATTGAAGTCATGACAACTCGGATTGGTGCCCTTGTAGAACTTCTTATCGATCGGCTTGCTCATCTCCGTGCCCTGCAAAAAAAGAGAGTCAACAAGCGTCAATATCATCTGGTTAGGTTTATCTGGGCCCTCGTTCGCCCCGTCTTGCACAATATATTTGTTCTAATTCTAAGTAGGAGGAAGTCAAGTTTAGATAAGACTGTCTAGGAGCAAGCAATGAATGTAAATGGAGAGAAAGAGTCCGCAGACCGTGGCAAAAATAATTGTTGATGCTGATGCTAATTTCAGTTTTAAAATTAATCTAGAATCCAGCGACAGCGAAAGCGAAAGGAAGGACTGGCATGAGTGCGATTGTTCCCTAACTTTCGGCTGAAAGAATCTCGGAAATTAACACATTCTGGAAATGTGGAAGCAGCATGGAAATTAGCGCCTTGTTGGCGGAATCAGGTGGGAAATGCTCTAGGCCATAGCTCTGTGCCAAGTTTACGCGGATAACGATGGCAATACAGAAGCCAGATAAAATAAATACGAAAAGAGAATAGCAAGCTGTTGCTCGAAAAGAATGCCAAAGAATTAGAAACAGCTGCTGGGCAGGAAAAGCAAACAGGCGACGAGGCGATGAGCAGTCCCAGTTAAAGGAAAAGCCGAACAGCGAATGCTCTTACTAACAGTATAATGGAGGTTTTGGTAGCGTCGCCTGCCTGGCTGTGGCCTTAATTGGTCACGTTTTTCCCAGATTAGGACATCCTACGGCTGATTACGCAAGGTGCGAACCAAATGGCAGAGTAATCTGGCGGGCGAGCTGCCTTCGGGCGCAATAAACATTCATAAAAAACGCCAAACAAGCGAATTGATCATCAAGCGCTTGAAGTGGAACAAATTAAGCCCGTTGGGGGACACTGAATGCAAATGGGAAGGTATCCAAGCGAGTGCCAATTGGCTAGTGCAATCCCCGTGGAATGCAATTGCTTGGCCGCTTATCTCTACCCCTCTATCTCTCTCTCTCTCGATGGATGATAAGCCCGCCGCTGCTCAACCTTCTCCTCAGAAGATTCTATTCTATCTCAACCTTGTCCACGTCATGTTCTCCACTTACCTTCTTGGCTCCGCGAAAGGAGTAGACGTAGAGATCTCGCCCGAAATTAAAGCAGATGCGATCCCCTCCTATCACCTGATTGGTGTTCACTCCATTCTGATCGAGAACGCCGCCGTTCATCATCGAGTGCATGGAGATGCCACCGCCCAACCGGGCGTCCACTGTGCTGTTCCCAGCATTGGTATTGTTGGCGTGGTTGTAGCTACTATCCCCGCCGGCGCCGCCATTCGTTATTGATGCGGTTGGTACTCCACCTCCGACGCCTGCTCCTGCAGCAGCAGTACCTCCAGGTGCTCCTACTCCCGTCGGCGAGGCTGCTGGCGTGGTTGTGCTACCATTCGTTGTGGTTGTCGCTGCTCCTGCTCCCGTTCCTGCTGTGGGCGAGCCCGCTCCCGTTTCCGCACCCAGCTTGCTGGGATTGGGCAGGGTCACCATGGAGACGCGCACCTGCGGCGAGCTCTGGTTGCTGCTGTAGCCCACCCGGTTGGGGCGCGAGTACTCGGAGAGGGTCAGCAGGCGGTAGGTTCCCTCGCGGGTGACAAATTGCGTCTTCAGGTCGTCCTTGACATTGGCGTCTAGTTGGTTGGCCATCGCTGCCAGCTCCTCCGCGGCAGCCGCAGCTGCTGCTGATGCTCTGCTCCTCCGCTGCTGCACCTGCTGCGCCACCTGCCCTCAGCCCATGTGGGCTGGTGTGGATCCTTGCCAAAGGTGATCAAACTCAAAATAACGGTACTTTGGGATTTTGGCCAAATTCAGATGACACTGCCGCTGCCGCGTCACTGCCGCTGCGCAGCTACCGCGCTGCCGCTGCCCCGAAAATCGTTAGTTTTTCGCCACTAATTAAGCGCCGTCCGTGTGTGGGTTTAAGTGCGGGTGTGTGCCCGTGTGTGTGCGGCTTGGCTTGCACTTTTTCTTTCTTTTTGTTATAATTAGATTTGATTCTGTCACTACACTGCGGTTTGTGTGGCTCTGCTGCTATTGTTGTTTCTGCTTCTGGAGGTGCTGCTGCTGCGGAACCTGAGGCGTTTTTCGTGATCGGCGGCTGCGGCGCTGCATCTCGGCGCGGAGTCGGCGGTGTGCGGGTTGGGTGGGTCGCGTCGCGGTTATTGCATCGGCCGCACGCTCGTTTTTATTCCGCACAATTACTTAATTTATTTCTATTTCTGCACCAGTGTGACCGCGTTCTAATCATAATAATTAACATCCCCGTGCTTAGACTTACATTTTACATTTTACACGTGTACAGAAAAAATTTACACGTTTACAGAACAATTGCGTCGAATTCCCAATTGGAATGAACGGTCACGCTATTTTGTAACTGAACGGAAAAAATATCGATATCGAATCTATCGATTAGTTAAGTAGCTGGTATTGACTAAAAGTCTCTGATAAATGGGCAGCACTTTGCCTTTTGGCGGGAGAGTTCCATTTGAATTAGGATTCGATACAGAACATTTATTTAACGCCAAAGAAGAACTAGATAATAATTCAATTTCTTACAATTGTTTTAAGAATATAATTGTCTTAAATAAAGTAAATCAGTTAATGGAACCATTGGGTTTAATTTTTATTATTTTCAGTATTGCTTATTATTAACAAAATATATTAGAATATATATAATTATATTTTATCTACCATTTGATTGTAATTGTACTATTGTTCTTCAACGGATAAAAATACGTAGAAAAATAAATAGTATTAATTGCAATACCGTTTTTAATTGCAATTATTAAGAAGCTAAAATTATTCACATAAATAAGCATTAAACCTATTAAAGTTCCCTTCACGAATTGCCCATAGTTTTTAGATTTTGCAATTTAATTTTCTTTTTATGTAGCTTTCACGAGTGAACTCCTCCTTTATTTATTATTTTACGCCTGTCAATGGCAACGCAAGAAAAGAAAGCAAACTATTTTAGACAGAAACCAATGGCAGTGACTTTCGTTATTTCAGTAACTAGCCTCAGTGAGTGTGTGTGTGGTGTTAGCCGGAAATGCATTTGGCATGTCCTGCGAAATTGGCCAGTGAAGAAGAAGAATGTGAAAATGAAGCTGCTGCTTTGTTCCCTCTTCCGCCTTTTACTCGTCCTTTCCTCGTTACTTTCCACTACCAATTGCATTGAAGTTTCCTGTTAAATCTCGTTTCGGACACATGTCCTTTGTCTCGGCATTGTAGCCGGGGCCAAGTGGGTGCCGCTGCTGAGATGGGCAAACATGTGGCGACCTCGAAAGGCGCATCGAACTGCAGTCAATCAAGAGCGATTGATAAGAAGGGCCACTTGAGGCGAGAGCCCTATAAAAACCACCGACGACGCTGCCCATCGAACCACCCATCATCGTCGACATGCGCTCGCAAGGTGAGTCCATACCGGTCGGCTTATTCTGCCAGGACTAAAGCTGACTCTATCCGATTAGGTATCATCTGGCCACTCGCCTGCTGCCTCTGGCTGCTGCTGCTCCTTCCGCTCCGGATCCGCTCCCAGTGCGTTGATACGGGCGAGCCGGGCTGCCGGCACCCGGCGGAGGTGGGCATTCCACAGCGCTACTGCCTCGATCCAACCAAGTACTGGCTCTGCTCAGCCCTCGGCCTGACGGCAGCGCTGAGGAAGTGTCAGGCCAACACTGGATTCGACCAGGATCTCAACGCCTGCGTGCCATGGCCTGCCTGGGTGTGGCAACCGTGCATAGAGCCGCCCAGTCGTCCGCCGGGCTTTATACCTTGTTGAAATGGATATTGACATGTGGAAATCTTTACCTTATCTAAATTTTTGAAAACTATAGAAATATATATTTTTCAGATTCTTGTGCTTTTATATTGCTTTCCCAACTCATTTACTATCTTTTTTTACTTTAATTACTTCTCTAATGTTTGAAGAAAACACGCTAAACAACCGAAAACCCAATATTAAATTTATATACCACATAATAATTTTGGTTCTCCTTTAAATGTTTTTACTAACGGAATATATATAATTATTTACGAAATGAAAATAAATATGAAAATGAACGAATATGTTAATAAGCATTTGCCGTATTAATTAGAAAAAAATCACCATTATTTGAATATTAAATGCATTTTAATTTATTTGTTTTTCCAGGCTCATTTATGTGTCAACTAATTGAGGTTTAGTAATAAAAGTTTGGAGTTTTAATGGTTATTATATTTCATATTATTCAAGGGAATTGGAAAGAAATAAATACACAATGTTTGTGACTAATTGATAATACTGGGAGCTAATACAAATTATATATAAATTAATTATATATTTTTGTTTTCTGTTGTTACCTCGTTTCGAAAAGGAACTTAAATTAGTTCATTGGAATGCAAGCTAATAATTGTCATTTTCAATAAGCATTTCAAACGTTTTTTCCCACAAAACTGCTGCTGAGTAATGCCATAAATTCAGGTAATTATTTGTATTTGTAGAGCATCCAACGTTGCCAAGAAGAGCAGTGAGTGTGTCAATTAGTGTGTTTGCTCTAGCTGAGTGCAAAAATATATGAGAGGTAGCATATCTCCAAAGAGCTACTTATCTGGGCAATGTCAAGAGCAAGATCCTCGAGAGAGAGGCAGATAAGTGGGATATCTCAGCTGGCAAATCCGGTATGAATCATATTTATTTATGATTCCCGTAACCGTACTCAGTACTTTTCGCTCAGTGCTGCGAGTGCGTTTTTATGGCAGCCGTGTGATGATCTGCCGATAGCCAGTTGCAATTACAGCTGCAATTGTTAACGTGTTGCGGCTTCTGAGTGAAAGGCCACGCCCCCCGTAACGAACGGGCGGCAATTGTGTTTCGGTTGCCGCCAAAGCATTTGTCATAAATCAATACCGCTTCGGGGGGCTGGTATCCTGTGTGCTCCCTCTCGCCTCCAGTCTATGGTTAGCGGACTCTTCCCGCTCTCAAGTGCAATAAGTTGCACTATTTTCGATGCGCTCGCCCGTGCATTTTGTGCGAGCATTTTATTTCATTTCACAGTTGTCAGTCAAACGCTTTGTCAGGCCGCCGAGCACATCAATAAGCGGCGAAAAAATACGTTTCAATCGAAATTTTATTTCTCGCTTTTGGCGTTGTGTGTGTGTCTGCGTGTGAGCCCCAACAAAATATTTGCATGTAAAAGAATTTTCCGCCATCATCGCACGGGAGCGCCAGCAGAGAGGCGAAAGGAGCAAAGTGCGGGTAAAAATTGTGAAATAAAATTTTAGCATACGTGACGTATACGCAATATATTTAATTGCATTGAACGCTCTCACTTCTCTCTGTTTTTCACCGCCATTCGGTTTATTTTCGAGCAAGTATGTTTACAATGAAGTGTCAGTGGAAAAATGTATCTACATATATCCGTAATTCGGGGTGTTATTTGGAGGAAACTTTAAATTGGAGACCGAATAATCCAGTTGATTGTTTGAGTAATCAAGACCTTTAGATTGGTAATGCATTTTACCGACATCATTGAAGTTTTTAACTTTTTGAAATCAAATCGAGCAATTTACATATCCGCCTGAGGAATGTGTGCCAACATTACGTATACGTAATATTTAAAATCTCATTAAAGACTCTTTATATGCCATTACTTTTCAAGCTGAAAGTATATTTAAGTTGTCGTGGCAATACAAACCATTCGTGATTCTCCATAATTGGGCCTGAACTTTAAATCAGGGCCCAAATCTCTACCTGCGTGCAAGCAAAATAATGGCCTTGTCTTTGAAAATCTCGAAATACTCAGGAAATGCTACAAATGCCGCACGAATTAGCATAAATCACTGGCGGCGGCACCGGCAGAGGGATTTTCCAGGCAGCCAGCCACCACGGTAGCTTCATTTAATGGCAGACATTAATAACCCGATTTAATTTATGGCCCAAAACTAACAAAAGCCCAATCCGCAAAACTGAGCAACAAAGGAGCCAACTTCAGAGGGAGGCCCGACTGCAGCGCAGTGCAGTGCGGCAATTACTCAAGTGCGCCCGGACAAGGACCTAATATGGCTTAAGGCGCCTCCCTCTCCCTCTCTCTCCGGAGAGGCGAAGGCAGGCCAGGTGAAATTTGTTTGGCCCAGCCCCAAAAATGCCTTTGAGGCAGTGTTTTGAATTAATTAGCAAGAGGCAGAGGCACTGGCACTGGCGGTGGCACTGGCATTGGCCAAGGCAACAACGTGGCGGCTACTCCGCTTGTTTGCGGCCTGCCCGGCTATCTCTGAAAATAATTTACAGCTGCCGTTGATGTCATGAATATGCAAGCAGGCGGCCGGAGGATGAGTCCCGGAATATGGGATGTGGGAGCTGGGCTGCGGGATGCCACCCACCTGGACGTGGCTCGAGCGGAAGAAACAACAATCGGGGCAAACAAACAGCGCCATAAACTGCCTGCGAAATGGCAAACAGAGGGTGGGGCGATTCCAGATGAGCTTATCGCGACCACAGCATCACACCTCAGTTCCGCTCGATAAGATTGTGCTGGCCCGGTAAGTGTATAAAAAGCGGGCCTTGGATTAGCATAGGTCAGTCTATCGAAAGCCTACCTCTGCTCACCATGAAGTTCCTTCCTCTATTCGTCATCCTTCTCCTGCTCGGCTGCGCCTCTCTGGGCAGTGGAGCTGCTGTGGGCAAGCCCACTGGACAGCCTGGCTGCCAAACGGAAGAGGAACTGGCGGTACCGGGCTATGCCCACTTCTACCTGAAGAATGCCTACTGGACCTGCGAAACCCTGGGAGTTCCGGCCACCCTCAACTCGTGCCCGATCGCTCAGGCCTGGTTGGATGCCGTAAAGAGCTGTGTCCCGTGGTCCGAGTGGTACTGGTCACCCACGGTCCTGCCCCCCAGCGAGCCTCTGGCGACGGTCTAAATCAGGAAGCCACATATTTTAAGAGGTTTTGAAATAAATAAAATACATTTAAATGAAGCTATTTCACAGATTTTATTTGTTAAAAGCTCATTTTGCGGGTTGATAAGTCATGTAATCTTTCAGGTATTACAAGTTATCTAATGGAATTTTTTTAGCAGACAAATATTTTCACTGCAACTAAGGGTGTAATGTAATGCTTAAATAAAAATGCAATTAGCTGTCTTGGCAACTGTTCGTGAGATAAGCACTCGCAGTTCCTCACAGTGAAATAGAGAGTGGCTATGAGCTTAGTAATAGTAAACTGTTTTAAAACTATTAAAACAAAGCAAAACTCAACTGGATATTGATTTATTTTATTTTCTCTTATAAAGTTGCAACTGCAGTTACCTTTCAATTAATCACAAAAACAAAGCCATTTTAATACCCTTAAAGGGTATTATAATTTCATTCAGAAGCTGGAAAGACTGGGAAGGTATCATTTCCGACCCTATAAGTCATATATATTCTTGATCAGCATTAAGAGCTGAATCGATTTGGCTATGTTCGGTCAATATTTATTTTTTTCAAAAATTTTGAAAATTTTATAAGGGGTTACATCATTAAATTGTCAAAAATTTATAAAAATCCCAATTTTTGTAAATTTAAAATTGAGTATGCAGATTTATTATACTACTAAAAACTAATATAAGAGTGATTTCTGAATTAAAATTAATGCTCTTTTGGCTTAGTTATGAGATTTCTAAACTTTGACTTGTCGAAAAAATTGTCATATTCAAAGAATAAGATTAGTTAGTATCGATTTCCGATTTGATTTTATAATTTAATTGCAAGCAGCAAGGGTATATAAACTTTGGCTTTTACATTTTAGTTTTGTTTGCTTATGATATAATCCAGGTGAGGTCACTTAGCAAAGCCTCAAAGATGGTTTATTTAAATAAAATGAAATGTTTGTTTATGCATTTAAAAGCTTTCTTTTAATAAAATACGATTTGCTGAATAATGGAGATTTGATTCAATATATTCTTCTTAAAATACTGTCCTTAATTCTAGTCCACATCCAGATCTCAATAATCTGTTAGATTTGAACCACAGTCATGTCTGGACGGGACTACAATGGTGAGCCGGGCTGTCGCAGTCCGGAGGAGCTGCAGCAGAACTTCCGGCACTTCTGGGACCCCACCGCCTACTGGCACTGCGGCAGAGATCGGGATCAGCCTGCTCAGCTGCGCCGTTGTCCTGCCAACGAGCTGTTCGACGACCGGGAGCGGCGGTGCGTGAAGTGGAAGGAGTGGCAGTGGACTGAACCGCAGGAACCGCCCACAAAGCCGCGCAAATAAAACACAGAGCACGCATGTATTGAAACAAATTGTCGAAAATATAATTAAAAAGCGCTTTCCGATTTTTCCCCGGCTGAGTGCCGGTTAATTTATGCGCGCTGGTGGGCTCTGGGAGGCTGGGCAAGGACATAAGCCGCTTTCGAGGAGGAGGCTGTTGTGCCGGCTGTTGATGGTCGCGAGGATTTGCCGCCATACGTGCAACAATTACGAAATGTGCGTGGGCGGGGGCGGGGATGTGCCCCCCATTTTTGGCCTCTGTTTGTTTGCGCAATTTGGTAAATTGACATGACGGCAATTTCCCATGGTCCATGGTACGCGCTGAGCCCCAAGGACTTAACTTCGCTTGCTAGTTTTAATAATTTTTAATTAGCTGCAGCGGAAAGCTCTCAAATGGACAAACAAAATGTGTAGCATGCTTTGCGGCGGTCCCTGGTATTATGCTGCTCGCTAATGTAATTGCCGAAAATTTGTTTTGTGTCCCAATTTAATTTGGAATCAAGCGCCATTAAAGTGAGCAAAAACTTTGCATTAATTATAATTGAATTTAAAGCAAGAGTTTGTGCATTCAATCAATTTTTATGCCACACATTCGTAGGAAAAACATTGATTTGGCGGGAAATAAATAAGCAATCTGGTTTGTTTTCCAGAGACACATTCGCAGTCAATTTGTTTTGCTAGATTTGATGAATAATTTTCTTTTTATATTTGGGAAATTGTGATAGAGTAAATATTTGGATTAGTTTTTTGAATTTTGATATAGTTATTTAAGGCAAACAATTGCAACTTCGATTTCCCAGATTGTATAAATGGTTTCATGTTTTACTGTATCTTTAATTCTCTCATTAAAATTTGAATATTAAGAAAGAACAATTGTTTTGTTAGTGTTTTAAAATTAAGGAAACAGTTTAGGATGAAAGAAATATATTCCTTTACTCAATATATAATATATTTTGTAAAGGTATAATTAATGCCAGGTATTTAATAGTCCATTGTCAGGCCGATTTAGTTTCTTTTCGCAACCCTGCAGCAGTGGGAAAGCTGTAGTCTTTGTTTTTATTTTTGTTTGGCTTTTCGATTTCAGTGTGTGTGTCCTTTTTTTTGTGTGTGTGTTTGAAGCTCGTCGTCTTCCCCCCACAATTTGATATACACAAATCGATTTACTTGCGCATGCAAATAACTTTATTTGCTTAGAGGAAGGAAGACGACGACGAGGAGCAGCAGGAGAAACTGTTAACAAAAAGTCGACAGCAGTCGGGCTTGGCTCAGCAGCCAAACAAATTTGCATAAATCGCAGTTGGTAGCACACAACACAGCCAACACAGACTATGCCGCACACATGTGCTTATTCACACCCATGTACTTACGGATATATATTCACATACATACATATAGTATATCCCGATCCAAAGCGACATCGCCATCGCCATCGACACGAAGTGAAAGGCGCAAAGACTAAGTGCATGCTTAAGTGTTTTCTTTTCTATTTACGGGCCACGGCGTTGGAGTGAGCAGCGCAGCCCCTCGTTTGTTTGCTCTGTTGCGGCTGTCACCCCCCATGGCACCCCCTTTTGTGCATATGTAAATCAAGGTAAACAGAAATCTGTTACAGCATGATACCATTACAATGACATGCAACGGACGCCACACCGGGACCCAAAGCGGCACCCTTATGCCACACACACAAACACACACACACGAAGCCACACGGCCCCCCACACACTGGCAAAGTAAACTAGATACTTATACACGTGTCTCATATTGACTGCGATATGTTATACAAATGAGATATTGATGCCTCACCATTACAACGCCAGCTCCAGCCACGGACCGCCTCTCAGGCAGCCAGGCAGGCTCGTCCTACTCGAGTGACAGCAAACAACAGAAATAGGACCGGGGACAGGACCGGCAGTAGGACCAGGACCATCCACGGCAACGGCAACATCAACAGCAGCAGCAGCAACATCAGCAACAACTGCAGGAAAGCCGCCGTAACGAGAGAGGCAGGCTCGAAAGTCCTAGATCAGGTTGTGGTTGGGCCTGCGACTTGTTTAACCCATTAGATACCGCCCTTTAGTCACACACATGAACAAGTAACAAAGTTGTTGGATACATTTTAGATAGGTACTAGAATATATATATCTTTATGAGACTCTAAAGGTGTTATTATGCACTTGTCCTAGTACATTTCTATACGAAAATTTTATGGTTTCCTTGGTTAAAAATCTTCAAATATATTTACCTCCATAAAGTCTCTGCGTTTCTTTCCCTCCCAAAGGCTATGGTTTCAAAGTCACTGATTGCTCTGTGGCCCTGTGCTCGTTAATGGGTTAACCTGCGGCCTGCATGGCCATGTTGTAACGGGTTACCGTTGCCGCACCAAAAGGACTCATGCTCCCTTACGTAACCAGATGCAGAGGAAGCCGCATACAGAAAATGGGAAGAAGAAAGCCGAGAAAGGACCTCTATATATGTGCGTGTCCAATCGCAAAGCAATCGAATCACACGGCAAGAGAAAGCAATGGTGTATCAAAGCGAGACGAAGGAAAGCAATCTGAAAAGGAAAGGCAAAAGAAGACAATAGGAAAGAGCAGATGACAAAACTGAGTAATTAGAAATTGAATGCCAAAGGATCGAAGGCGTACAAGCGAAGGGGATTTTGTATTCTATTTGGTGTTTAAACTCTTGAATTTTGTCTTTAAGATAATCATGAATATTATTACATTTTTGAGATATAAAATAACTGAATCTAAGACTGTAATTAATGGTGTTTATAGTGAAGCCTAAGCTAAATAAATCATTTGCATTGTTTTATTTTCATCTCTGCAATTACGATCTGCGAGATACTAATTCCTGCGATCAATATCTAAGGAGCAACTTTGACTGTTTGCTCAGTGAATTCAAATCAAACTGGAACCAGGGGGAGCCTGCCCCTGCCAGCCAAAGAAAGCAAACAATCAGCAAAACAGCGATTACGAATGCAGAATCGGGCAAAATGCAATAACTGAATACAAATTTGAAATGTGGCGGAAATTGAAATCGAAGGCGTTGAAGTGATTTCGTCTCGCAAAAATTCAATTGCAATGGCAACGGCAACAATCAAGCACCGCAGCAAATGTCTTGAACAACAACGACAACAACAGCAATAAGCACTTCAGCAGCACCCTCCTCGCCTCCTGATCCTGCTGCACTCGATGTCGTCCTTATTGTGGCACGGCTTCTGGTTACTGGTTACGCGGTTATTTGGGGCTCCTTTCACAACCCCTTAACCGGGCTGGGTGCACAATTTTTCCGCTGCATGCAATTTTAATGCGATTTTGGATTTGATTTGTAACCGAAAAATAAGCCAAACAAACTTTTCCCTCTCGAAAGTGGTGCCTTGGTGGGCTGCGGTTGCATTGTTGCCGCCATCGTTGTCGTTGTCCTTGTTGTTGCTTCTGTTCCGGTTCCCGTCCCCGTTCCTGGTCCTGGTCCGGGTTCTGGTCTTGTTCCAGCTCCTGCTCCTGCTCCTACTTCTGGTCTCCTATCCTTGTTGCTTGCTTGGTTGTTAAGTGCAAATATAAATTCAACGGCGCCGTAAACTCAAATGCAGGAGGGGTGTAACGATTTACATCAGTGTTGCCAAAACTCATCAGTATTTGAAAATGGAATAAGTGGGTGATAAAAATAAAAGTATTAAATATAGGCTTACAAGAAACAGGATACAATAAATTAACAAGAAACACAATATAAAAGTTCCATACGGCTTTTGAAACGGAAATTTAAGCCATCTAATGTTATATTTTTGGAAGAACTTTTATTACCCTTGCAGTGTTTTGAACTTCAGTTAAAAGCATGCAATTCAGTGAAGGAGTCATTTCCGACCCTATAAATCATATATATTATTGATCAGCATTAAGAGCTGAATCGATTAAGCCATGTCCGGTCAAAATTTATTTTTTTCAAAATTTTGAAAATTTTATAAGGGGTTACATCATTAAAATTGTCTAAATTTGACAAAAAATCGAATTTTTAAAATGTTAAAACTTTTTACGCAAATTTGTTAGCCCTGTTAAAAATAGCACAGAATTGAAGTCAGAAATGAAATTAGTGCGTTTTTGGCTTAGATATGGGGTTTTAAAGTTATGATTTTTTAGTAAAATTATTAATAGATCACTGTTGCATACTTGAACTCATTATCTTTTGGCTGACTTCAAATGTATACACACTCCGACTTCCCGAAGATAGTTTCCTCTCATGTTTTTAATATATTTTTAAAGGTCAATATAATTAACATGGCTTCCTTAAAATATAAATAATATATTTTCTGGGAGTTCCCTTAAAATTAAGATAGATCTTTGCAAAAAGAAAAACCATATCGGCATCACTATGCTCTGTATAAGAAGAGAGGAATGCGTTGCGCCCTGCTGGGCGCTGGGGTCAAATATTTATTTGTTGCAGAGCACAAATTTTATGCTGCATACTTTCATGCGCCGCTGCAGCACAATAGGGCACAAGAGCCGCCCCACTGCCAGGGGGTTGGAACTGGAACTGGCACTACCACTGGAACTGAGGCGCATAAAACCTTCCGCTGCCATTCAAGTGGAAAAGTTTAAGCCAACTTTTCCGTACCCCCGCCGTTTGCCCGCTCTTGTCCGTGCAACGCAAACAATTCAAGCGCGAAAATGCGCGCACTGAAAAATCATTCAACGGAAGCCACAGCAGAGGGGCTAAAAAGAAAGAGGGAAGGAGGTAGGACTACGCCGACTGTCACCACTCGATGGTGTGGGTCTAAAAATGCCAATTATGCCCATGCCACGGGAAGTGTCTTGTTCCATTGCTGGGATTGAATCGAAGTAAAAATAATACAAACTGGAGAAAATTACAAGCGCATTGCGTATGCGCCCTGTTGTCAGCTGCATCTTTAGATCCAAAAACTTAATTAAAGCAGCAACACTTTGACCAGGGGTCAGAGGTCAGAACAGCGTCACCAACACTTGAGGCCACTGCCGAAACTTTAGGAGCCGTGCGCAGGCCACAAAACAATTGTAAACTCAATTAAATCCAAGCACCGCTGCGGCAGTCGGTCCGGCCAAGTCCAACTCTTAACTACAGGCCCAAGTTCTCAGCGAGTTCTCGAGAATTCAGTCCGTCCACTGAACATTTTCACACTCCAAAAGGTCCCAGGAGGCAGGAGGAGAAATCAAAATTTATGAAAGACATTAAGGTTGCTGGAAATTAAAACGTTACAAATTTTAAGTTCTTATTTTATGTATATTTTATTATACATCTAGATTGTAAATATTAAGGACAATTACTGGACTTTCCTTGCAGTGCACACACTTTTCTGTGAGAGCGAATCTCCCCGGGTGTGCTGATAACATACGACAGTTGTGACTTTAAAAATCCCCTTTCGCAATTTTTGCACAAAACTTGTGCAGGATTAATGGCCCGAACGGCCCAGGCATCCATGCAATTAAAATGCAACAACAGAGGCATACAGGAGCTAAAAAGGAGCAGCAGCAGGAACCGGAGCAGGAGATGCGGCAACAGCTGCAGGAGTGGGCGGAAATGGAGCAGAAAGATTGCTGTGACTTTGGAGCGTTTGAAAACTCGCATGTGTGACGGGCGAGGCCCGGAGATAGCCACGCCATTTAAAGTGGCTGGCGAGGCAGCAAAACGAGCAGTGGCAAGAGCATGGGGCTGGCATTGCGGTGGGTTGAGGGGTACCGACCACACTAGTTAGTGCCGTGCCCCATGGGAGGCACACTCACACACATACAGCATTGTCCAGGAACAGGCATTGCCACACATACTATGCACACACGGTTTTTGCCCGCAATGGCCAAAGACAAATAATGCAATTTCCTGACTAACTCATTTGGGGTGGCAGCGAGGCAGCAGTGGAGCAGTGGAGCATAGGGAGCAACTGCAGTTCCGTGTCACTGACACTTTGCCCTCGCTGCCTGGCCACCACTCAGACATTTATTACCTAGCCGGATGGGTCTGCGAGTGATCAAAGAGAGCACTGGGAGCTGGGCGCTGGAGTTTGGTGAGTGCACCCAGCACAAAAGAGGAGCACGGGATGGATCACTCTAAGACCCACTAGATCTCCTCTTAGCCGGCCAGCAGTGGTTTCCTTCACGTGAGTCCCTTTGGGTCCGCTGATGCAATCATTGGCAACTTCTGGTTTCATGTTGCACTCGGCAAGCAACAGCAGCAAGATTAATGCCAGACCAGCATCGAACTTTAAACTCGTTTTTAGTCCTGACGCACATGACGCACTCGAAGAAATACTTGTACAGTGAGTGCAGTGAAGAGGAAGGAAACCTTACAGTCGAGGATATAATCTGAAACATTGCCTAAATAAATATTCTATTAAACACACAAACAATACTCGCAACTTTTCTCAGTGTTCAATGCTGGGTCCAAAGACCTCTAAAGGACTCGCCGGCGATGGCAGACGAAACATGTGTTCAGCAAAACCAGGAGCATGTCCTGCAGTTGGTCCTTGGCCCTGTAATTTGTCCCCCCTCGCCAGTCGTTGTTTGTTTTGCGCAAAAGTTTGCGGCGACAATTGTTTTGCGGTGTTGCGCAAAGGACGGACCCTTAGAGTGGCAATCCTTTCATTCGCCATGGCAATCACCAACACGCACGCACCCGAGACAAAGTGCATTGATTGGGATTGCTTTGGAATTTTCTTGGGAAATGATTTTGCGGCTGTCGTGTAATTTTGTATTTGGCCAAGATTTATGGCCAATCGATTTTTGTTGATTTTTTTTGTCCGTCCAGGAAATGAGGCCTCAATACGTGTCATACCTTATCATATCGGCTGCCTACTCGACCGCCGCTCATATATCAATTATTTTCCAATCAAATTTAAGTTAATAACATTTCAATTCGGACACTTTTAATCGCGATAAGTGGTCGCTGGAGAACTATAATTAATCAGGCTTCGGTGCAGTTGCGCAACGAGCGCCACTGGGACCACGGGAAGCAGCCGAGATATCCGCCGACATCCACGAAGGCCTTGTTTTCCGCGCAGGGCAGCTCCAGGACGCCCTCGCTGGTGCAGACGTAGAAGTTGGTCAGGTTGGCTGCGCGTTGCGGCTGGTACTGGGTGCCATCGGTGCAGGTGGGCACCTTGGCCAACGAGTTAACGCAGGAGGGGTTCATCAGGTCTTCGCGCAGGCAGCCGGAGACGGTGGCATTGTTCACAAAGTAGTAACCCTCGTCGCATTGGTCGGCGATCACATCGCCATCCAGGCAGAAGTAGAACTTGCGAATGTCCTCGCTGCCCCACAGCTCGTCCTCGGACTGGCAAACGGTGGTGACATCGCTTCCCGTGGTGCCCAAAGATGCGGCGAAGACCAGGGCTAGGAGGCCGAAAAAGATCATGAGCTCTAAAAAGGATACATTAATTATTAACTTAAAGATCACATGATTATTTTCGTATTTACAAGTATGATTTAAAATTTATGATTTGATTTAAAAGAGAAGATATTCGTGTTCATCCTCGTTATAACAAGGTATCTTATAAGCTTCCTTTTAATTACCTTTCAGCATGGTGTATCCTTTTGTTGCTTCCTTTCGATTCAAAGATTTAAGACAAACTAAACAATGTTGAGGCAAGTGCGTGGGCTTTTATAACATTCTATCCAATCAAGAAAACTTATCGGGACTCTCGAGAGCGACATATCATTGACACCTCGGATGATGAACGTAGTTCGAGGCCTGTTTTGGCTTCTGGTCTTGCTCATACGTAGCGATGAATGCCGCTTATCTGGTGTTTTGAATGTTATGAATGGAGATAATGGCGAGTTTTTGGCTAATTTCCAATGCCCTGTCTTTGGCAGGTATCGCGCGTCTCAAGTGGCTGGTTAAGTGATGAGCACCTTCCAGGAACCGGAGTATAAATTGCTCTTGGAGTGCCAAACATTGGGGCCTTAGTATCACCTGCTGCTGCTCTCACGTCTACGTATTTTCCCCGGAAAGTTTTAATTGAATTCCCATCGATAGCAAGCCTATTGGAATTTATGTCGATTATATTGTCAACTTTTCCGGAGCTCCGCGAAGTTTGCCTATTTAAACTTGGAGCTCGCGTAAATAGAGTGCAAAAAGTGGGAAGACGAGGCGAAGTTGAATTGACAACGTGACTTGCCGGCAAAACTGCGAGACTGAGCCCGTCGCTCGTCCAACTTTTTTCTGCAGGTTATGGAGGTTATCCTGAAGGTCTTGGCCGCAAAGTGACTTCTTTCCCGCCGCCAGCTGAGCTCCTTTCGGGCGCTCTAAGCCAAATCAATTAGAACTTCTGACAGCAGCTGGGCCTGCATCTGAGCGACGAACCCGAAAACATTGCCCCATTATCAAGGCTGGCTGGCTGGCAGAAGAGCGTAATTAAATTTTCGATTGATTTCTGCAGCAATAATTTCCAATTTGGCTTCATTTGAAAGGCAATTAATGTCTCTGCTATCACTTAGATAAGGACCTGCAATAGTGTGTTTGTAATGTTGGCTTTTCGGTAGTCACTGGGCTGTGGTTTTATACGCAGTGAATCATTTGGACACCAATGAACCTATAAGATGAGCTGTATATAAAAAATCTTCTACCATTATAATATATTTCTATATATTCTATAAGGAATGCCCTAATGTTTGTATATATAAATAATCTAAAGATGATAGGAATATTTCATTTAAACTTTAGAGATTGTCATTACAAATAACGCGATTTTCAACCAATCAAACGATGAGACTGATAGAGATCTCTCGGTACCTAAAAAATGTATCACGCGTGAGCTGAGGAAACTTTAAACCACAATGGTTATCTAATCAGTAAACTTGTGCTGCTGCTTCTGCTATAATGACGTCACTTTAGTCCAAAATAAAAATGCCCGAAAAGCCCGAAATGAAAAATGACTGTAAAAATAGCACCGATATCGTTGCAGGGCGAACATGGAAAGTCGTGCAATGAGCATGAGTATAAAAACGAAAGACAATGGCGGCGACGACATCAATCAGTCGAGTCGAGTTTTTCAGTTCGCTGCCGGAGGACGGAGCAGGGAGCAAATAAATTTATTAACGAGCACAGCTTATGACCAAATGATGAAACCCGAAACAGTGCAGGAATAACAGTGTTTACTAGCAAATTGCAATAAGGAGAAAGCAGACAGTGTGGGAGCCAGCCACAATAAATGCCCTGCCAGCCGTTCGTGATGAAATTATTTATGAAAAATAAATGGAATATTCCTCTTTTGCTGCTGCTGTGGCTGCTGCAGGGAGAGGTCTCAGCATCAGCATCAGCATCCGCCTCCTCCGACCCCGACTCCGACCCCAACACAACCACGACTGCAACATGCAGACACGCCACGGACATGTGGGGGGATCCGGACCCCAACATATTCTACGTGTGCTCCGATGCTGGCCAACCGCTGCAGCTCCGATGTCCGGCAGGCCGGGGATTTTTCAGCGGTCTCGGCCATGTCGGCTGCCTGCCCTTTGCCCAGTGGCCGGCCTGCCTGCCTGCCCCGGAGGAGCAGGTGGTTGCCGGGTCGTCGTCAGATGGCTGTGACAGCGGCGAACACCTGCTGTCGCCCTGGGCCTCCGCAGATCCCAATCAGTTCTACCTCTGCCCGGGGCCATCGGCCACACCTCTGCTACTCACGTGCCCCGCCGGCAAAGGATTCCTGGCCACCGAGGAGGCGTTGGGCTGTGCGGATTGGATGCTGTGGCGTCGCCAGATGGAATGCGAGGCGTACTACTGATTGCCGGCGGATAGGGCATTCCGTGTATGATATAAAAACAGCCAATAATCATCGTCATTTCATGCAGCACCTGGTGTGTCTACCACAGTCTTTTCTCGAATCTTATTTCATTTATGGGCTTAACCTGCTGCGCCATCTCATTGACTCACTCACTCAATATATAGTTTTATCTCTGTAAATAAAGTAAAAAGTTTCTATTTATTTCGATTGTGGGTGTTTCTTTGCCCGATAGAGTTGACTAAAAAGCTGATAAAGAAGCAACATCTTGATAGCGAGAACAATTTGAAGGCACAAAATCACAATGAGTGGTGAAAGGTACTTGGCAGAGGTATTTTATTGGCTATGTCCAAACATTATTAAAATTATTACTAAATTATTACATTTTTAAAGAAAAAACCTCACCTATTTTCTATTAGTGGTTCGCTATTATCTTTAACGGATTAACACATTTCAAATAACACCCCATCATCGGCTAAAGGTTTTCATTGCAAATATTGCTCATTTGAGCATATTAAATGATGTGCTCTAGTTTGCGGCACATGGGGTAAATCCTTTTAGTCCTCACACTCCCACAAAAGCCACGCATTATCCTTTGGCATTACTCTCCTTTATGCCGGCTCCTCTCCCATCAGGCGCTGTCTGTCTGGCAGCATCATGGTGGAGGTCAGCAGGACGACTCAGACCCGCCCTTCGCAGACGGCTTTGATGTGCCCTTTTACTTTGTCATTCCCTTATGTGGCGTTATTTTTTACTGGAGCTCCTGCTCCTCCGCCAGCTGGTCCTGCAGCTTCCTCACCTCCCGTCTTCAGGCTCGTTTACAGTCATAAGCCTTTGTTCTTGCCGCCATAAAACATCGCACAGGACCAGTATATACCTGGCCATAAGAATGATGACACATGCAGCTGGGCATATCGCATAAAAAAACGACAGACAGGGCGCTCTATCGGATATTGCATTTTGCTTTGAGCGCGTACAGATGCAGGAAATTACTGTCAACTGTTAACGCCCAGGATCTAGGATCAGGATCCCAGCTCCCCGCCGGAGCTTTAATAAATCTTCAATTTGCATATTCCTTTCTGTTTTTTCTGCGCTCTCTTTTACGCCCGGCCATTAATCAATGCCCAAGGGGCGATGGCAGGCAACATCACGTATACGTAATTTTAATTGCCACTGATATAAAAGTGTTTAGCCTTTGCCGGGGCGGAAATTGAGAGTGGGTCGCAATTTAATTAAATGTTTACTTGCTGCTCTCAGCAGAAATCAATGAAAGCGACTTATAATTTATTGCGTTCCAGAAGGACGGAGACCGAGAACGCCCGCAGGAGCCGGCAGGAATCGCATCCTGCTGACGCAGACAGCGATTCGCATTGGGGCGAAAGTAATTAACCGATTGCCAGACGAAAAGCAGCTGATAATAGCCCAGCGAAGCTCCTCAGGATTCCTCATCGGATTGTAAGCATTAGGTCAATAGCTTTAACTGCAGTCGCAAAGGGACTGGCAGCCTCTCAAGAAAGTAATAAATATAATTTAAGGAAGCCCCAATCAGCTGGGAAATCAATAAACCACCAGCATCTTTTTCGCTGGGAGGCTGTGATGGCAAATGGGACTTTTTCGAAGAGAAGAGATCAAGCAATAGTGGTAAAATATAACGAAAAACTATATCTTATTTTTTATACAAAATATTTGCTGCTTACTATCTTCACTAGTAAATTATTTAAAATCATTTTAAACTTTCTTATATTATATAGAATCCTTTATTAAGAAAGTACAATAAAGGTCCAATAAAGTGCAAAAAATAAGTTTTCTGAAAATAGGAATGCCGTTTCTCATGTCCGGAATAAGGATAAATTATCATCACTACCGGAACATATCGTTTGGGCCAATATCCAGAGCACATTCTCCAACCATGCAGACGGGGATTCACCAGGGAACCATGACGCCTCCTCCCCCGCTCCCATCCGCTCTATGCATCATTGTTAAGGGACTCTCCATTTCGTTGATTGCCCCACCGCAGGCGCAATAATATTGATCGCCTGCAAATGTTGTTCAGCTGCCCTTCAATTTATGTTCTCTTCGCTCTTTGCAGCAAAGTTTAACCGAACACACAGTCAGCCACACACACACAGCAAACACACACACGCGCACACACTGGCTGCTGGAGTTAATGTGGCAATGCAAATCCCAAATATGGGCAAAAATGCCATTCGAGGTGCAACATCGCTGTTGGCCCTGTGTGGATGTGGCACCAAGGCCAGCTGCGATTAAAGCCGCCTGCCCGGAATGCAAACATAAAAGGAGGTACTGTTGCAGTTGCAACTAATATACGGTGTTGTGGGACAGGAGCGGACTAGAGGGAATGGGTTACCAAATTTCAAGTACTTTAATTCAATCGTTTGTTTTTAGATTCCAGTTGGATTCAATTGTTTAATTACAATAGTAATTCCATAAAATAAATCTCGGTTAAGCCCCCCGCGGATTCATTTTTAAATCAGGTTTCATCATAGTGGGATAATTTTCTATTTTTTATGATAAACAATCAGAGTGTATAATGCTTGGCTTAATCCTTTGTTGCTGCTCCTCCGCTCCTGGCCACCTGCTGTGGCTTCAATCCATTTACAGGTGTTTGCCCAGAGTCAATGCATACGCAGCCAGCCGTAAAACATTTGTCACATTTGCATTAAAAGCAGCAACAGCAGCCATCCAGGGAGCCTGCTTTATGTGTGCTTTCATATCCGAAACCCACACCGAGACCACCACCACGAGCACCACCACCATCAGCACCACCGCCCGGCTATGCAATTTATTTGCACAGTGCACTTGCCAATTAATTCTTATCTCAGCAGCAGGCATGCAGGTTGCTTTCCCGGCTTTCCCGACTGCATAAATCAATGTGCCCGAAATGATAACTCATGCGAATGCAAGGTGCTCGAGGTACGAGCAGCATATATATCGTGCTCTAGATAGCTCATCCTCCGTTCGATTGGAAGGCCCGAAATGAGACGGGGCATGGGTATTCGTATTGGCATGGAGATGATAGGGAGACATTGTGTGTCTAGGACGACCTGCAGCTCACTCAATTTCATGCTGTCAAATGTGTGCTGCTGCCTGGCCGGGATCCGCTGCAGAAGCTCCTCGTATGCATACAGAGACGAGGAACCCATCCCCTCTGGCAGTGGGCTTATTTCCTGCCAGCGGCGTCTAATTGAATTGCACTGCTATAATGGCCGATTCAGCCTTGGTGGCACCTTCGTGGTGGTGCCTCCTAATTGAAGAGCCCAGCTCCTGCATTTACGATAAAAGTGTCATCTGTCTTTCGAGTCGATTGAGATTTAAGCTCAACGAGAGATAAATGTCTGCTAAACTGAGTTCGGGTTTCAGGTGGAGGATTATTAACTCGACAGCCTGTCATCTGTCATCTGGCAAAATGAATTCATTTAATATTCTATTTGGGGTCACCTGGGCATGCATATAAAACGAAAGTTTTGTGCGTCATTATTCATGCAAGCTAATTTGATACAAAAGCCAAAAAGGAGGCTTTCTTTGCTTTCATTTAAACCGGATGGCTTTTATAGGAAAGAGTGACCTTTTTATACTCTGCAGGGTATGATAATTTAGGTCAAAAGCTTGCAATCCCCTGAAGGAGTCATTTCCGACCCTATAAATCATATATTTTCTTGATCAGCATTAAAAACTGAGTCGATCTAGCCATGTCCGGTAAAAATTAAAATTTTGAAAATCACATCGTTAAAATTGTCAAAAATCGATAAAAATCCTAATTTTTTAAATTTAAAATTGAGTATGCACATTTATAGAACTACTAAAAACTAAAATGGGAGTAGTTTCTGAATTAAAATAAATGCTCTTTTGGCTTAGTTATGCAATAATTAAATTTGATGTAAAGAACAAATTTTCATATAAAAATATAAATAACCTCGATACAAAAAATGGTATTTTAGTTTTAGTCAGAAGCTTGTAGCTTGTGAAGGAGTCATTTCCGATCCTATAAATCATATATATTATTGATCAGCATTAAGAGCTGAATCGATTAAGCCATGTCCGGGGAAAATTTATTTTTTTCAAAATTTTGAAAATTTTATAAGGGGTTACATCATTAAAATTATTAAAAATTGGCAAAAAATTTAATTTTCTAAAGTTTTAAATTAAGTATGCAGATTTGTTAACCTAGTAAAAACTAACATTGGAAGGGTTTCCGAATTGTAATTAATGCATTTTTGGGTTAGTTATGAATATTTCAATTTCGGCCTCCTAACCAAATATCAAGCTGAAAGATATAGTTCTTTTTTTAAGAAGTTTCTAGTCAGCAAAGTTACTATTAAGGTTGTACTTAAAAAGTTGAAATAATAAAAAATAATAAAAAAAATAAGTGCGTATTTTATATTGATTAATAATAGTCAATGACTATGCCTGGATTTTTGTATAATTTTAATATTATAAACTCATTTCAAATATTCCTTGGTTTTACGAAAATTTTCATTAGTTACTTTATTGAAAATTAAGAACAGAACATAATTTAGGGAATAATAATTAATTAACACATTAAATAAAGACGGCTCTTTAAGAATTTATTGTCCTTTTTGTCACTTTTTATTTATTTTTGTAAGCCTGTCACTCTTTTGAAGTTTCTGCCAACACGGGCGAAAGTGGAAATGAAAATCTCTCTGCCCAATTTGGATGCGGGCCTTGTCCGGTGCTCTGTGGATTACCCAGAGGCAAACACAGCCGCCACAATAACTGACTGGCCCCGCATTAATTCATATAATTAAAGCGAACCAATTATAATTGTTGCGAGTCCTGGTGGCGGCACTGTTGCTTCCAGTCTCCTTGGTCGCTTCCTTTGCCGCCACCTGTCAGCAAATCTGGGGACGAGGACTGGCCGCTTCCTGTTTCTCAATGCCGCCGCCTTCGCCTCAGGTGAGGCACACGCAGCCGTTGGGAAAAGCTCGCGCGAGCAGGTAATTAATTATGTCAGCTGCAATGAC